CAAAAAAATCCACAAAAAAGAAAAGCAGCTAAAAATGGAGTGGAACTGAGGACAGGGAGTTCTACACACAGGGACATTCCTTAAGATACATTGGAATATCTGTAGTTTCTCCTAGGAACACAGTGTGGAACCCTTGGGCAAGGTGGTCCCTTAGGTTCTTTTCAGCTCTGATTTTCTGGAACAACTTAGGCAGAAGCTTTTTAGAGCATTACCTCTCTCCACTTGCCCCTTGACTCCCTGCTTCCACTCCTATTTCCTGTTGGAAGAGAAGAAGCTAAAGGAAACTTTTAAGGTGTGGCAGCTAAAACTTAGGACTGGAGAGCTTCTGGGGCAGCTCAGAGATGCTCCAGAGTTTGGGGCCAGAATCAGCCTGAGATTCCATAAAGACATCTGAGATGCCACGTTTCACTGTGGCTAGCAGAGACTGGGGTGGAGCTGCAGGCTTCCTCCTTGGCTCCCTCTAGGGGACCGCTGTTGCATCGTGGTGACCACAAATGAAAGGGGGAGAAATAACGTCAAAGTGTCCAGGCTGTTGCATCTGGAAAGGCCTCCGAGATCCCGAAGATAGCAAATATGTGGCATATGTGGCAAACACGTGACCTCCACCTACCTCTCCTGCACATGTGGCAGACATTACTAATCAATCGCCTGACCTCTTCCCCTAAAGCCTAGAGAGGCATCAGAATCCTGAACACAGTTCTTCTGACAGCCACTACCAATGGATTAGTGGTGTTGTCAGGCCACATGAAACCTCTATGTGATGTCTCTTATTGTAGAGATAGAGAAATTGAGGCTTAGAGAAGGAAAATACCTCTCTGGAGGTCATACGGCAAGCTGGTGTCTGAGCCAAACTTCCAGATTGTCAAAAACATCCAGATGTTTACTTTGCTTTGCTTTGCTTTTTTAATCTGATAGGTCTGAAATCCTAATGCCATGACTAACACAAGATGACCCAGGGGGATCCCCAAATAAGAGAAGCTAATACCAAGTTTCTGAAAGAAACCAGCTCTGAAAACAATTGTTGTCTATGTTCATGTTTTCCTTACAGACAACAACCTCTTAGCTTGATGGGTGAGAGCAGAGATGATTTCCTGTCTAAGCTGCCAGCTGAGGAGAGGCTGTTTTTCTAAATAATTCTGTCAAGTCACTACTTGCTGGCCCTGGCCTTGCAGAGTCCAGCTGTCCCTGGATTCAGGATTGGGGTTGGGAGGGAGGGAGGGAAGGAGAGAGGGAGGCATCAGGTTCTGTGCTATAGAAACAAGGTCCTCAGGGTTGCTGAAAGCCCAAGGCCAGTTTTCTCTTCTTTCATTTGAGACTGACGTTTGGGAGGGAGCCAGCTAGAAGCAAGCAGTCAGCCGCCTACAGGCACATCGCGCAGGGCCTTTGGGCCTAATGACAAAGCCATGTGGGCTGGAATAGGCACTGCAGGCCAGCCAAGGGGAGAGACAAAGTGCTGCTCACCACTTAGTATCTACAGGACTTGTGTGCATGACTGTGTTTCCAAACTGAACAAATGGGGATTGGGGGAAGGCAAGGTGAACATCTAAATGGTCCAAACACCTGGAAGTTTGGCTCAGACTCCAGCTTGCCATGTGACCTCCAGTGAATTATTTTCTCTTCCTGAGCCTCAGTTTTTCTCTCTCTGAGACACAGAGTGATATATGTAGGTTGCACTTCTGTCTCATTGTCATGATCCATATAATGTTTGACTGTGCACATCCATCCATCCATGTGTGACTACAAGTGGTGGTGTGTGTTTGTACACCTGATGGCATGTCTGTGTAAGTTACATACAGCCTGGCTGAGCGTCTGTGTGTTTCAGCCTGTAATAGGCGAGGATCAGAATTTTCACATTCATTAAGATATATTCCTGGACCTTGTTTGTAAATCAGTGTCATCCAGGAAGAAGTATGTGAGTGAATGACTTTCTGTGTCTGCTCCTGTAATGAGGCACTTATTTTTAGCTGAGCCAGTGGGTGCTTGTTGATGAAATCACTGTTTATGCTCTTCAGCCCTATGGGTTTGTACCTGTTCCTGTTTATCTCTGCATATTTATCTACCTACCTAAATGACTTCAAAAGCCAAATATTCTACTGTTTACCTCACATCCTCAGCCTTTTCCTTTCCTTCACCATTCTTTCTTATTTATAGCTTGTTTTCAGCAAGGAAAGCTGTTCTCATGAATAGCAAACCCCAGTCACACTATTGGTTGACAAATCTCTACAGATGGATAAGGATTACAGCATGATGGTTATGTAACCCAAGATCCCCTAGCCCATCCTTTCTTGTTTTCTTTTCAACTGGGGGTGCAGTAAGGGGGTGTTAGAAATGCAGGCCAACTATTCCTTCGAATAAACACTGTATCTGGGATTTAGGTTTACAGGACTTTAGAGTTAGAAGGGTGCCTGGGAGATCATCTAGCTTAGAACCTCTATTTAACAGATTGGGAAACTGCAGCCTCAAGAGAGGAAATGTCTTTCCCGATGTCAGGCACTGTGAGTCAGAACACACTTTTTCTTTTTTTTTGTACCCTTGGCCAATGCTTTTCCTACATAGAGGGCACAACAGTCTTGGGAAATACACAAGAAGGTCCCCAAATCAAAATGAAGGTAAACAATATTATGATTTTAAACTTTTTCCTGTCAGCACTTCTAGTAAAGGGAAGTTCTACATGAACCCCAAGATAATGGAGCTGCCAGGAAAAAAAAAGAAAAAAAAAAAGCTGAGAATGATTTCACCAGGTCTTTGGATGCCATTAATCCATCAGTTCTGAAACCCTTTGCATTATGAGGGAACGCCACAATTTGTGCTTCCCTGAGCATTATCCCATTTCTTCCACACACTATCTACCCTCTAGAGGTGGCTGCTGTTACTGTTCTTTAACTGTAGAGGGAATGGGGCCCAGAAAGAAGTATTAGTTCAAGGCCAAATGGTACCTTCAGGGCACAGCCAGAGCTAAAACCCAAGTCTTCAGACACCCTTGCAAGGAGATTATCATGGCCCAAGGCTTCCCCGGAATCCTGAGAGATCACAAGGGCAGGGCCTAAAATTTGCTGCAGTCCTTGAATTTGGGGGTGGGGTACGTTCAGACTGATGTTCTTGGAGGGTTCTGAGCGTCCCCTCCCAGCCAGCAGGCAGAGACCCTGAAAAAAAGGTTACCGTGGCAACTCGCATTCCTGGGAGAGTGAGTCAGGCAGAGAAGAGCCTTCTGGTGGGTGGGACTTGGAGAAAGTTTCAAAAGTTGATTCCTTCTCCAGGCAACCCCCTTCTTCCCCTCCCTCCCCCTCTTTGCTCTAGGCTTTGTCGATGTGGCAGCTGATAGCTGCGAGTTAACTCTCTCTTTCCTCAACCACTCCCTTTTTAAAAGGGAAATACACACGTTTGTTACCAGTCCTCACTCCATCCCCACGTCATGCCCTCTAATCCATTTGAGAATATCTTAAAGCTGAAAGTTGTGAGCACCCATATTCATATATTCATTCTCTCTCTCTCTCTGTCTCTCTCTGTCTCTCTCTGTCTCTCTCTCTCTGTCTCTCTCTCTCTCACACACACACACACACACACACACACACACACACACAGTGCATACAATTTTTAGGGGCTTACAGATGGCTTGAGGCCCATTCAAAGACCACTCCATAGACCCTGGTTAAGAAATCTTCCTTTGAATATTTTAGAGTACACAAAGCACCTCAAAGAGCCTTCAGTTTCAGCCTTCTTTCTTTACAGATGGAGAAGCTAAATCCAGGTGAAACACTTACCTAAGATCACACATAAAATGCATGCCTGAAGCCTGTGTCCTACATCTGCTTTGCTTCTCACTAAACCACCAGCACTTGGGGCATACAGAAATTTAACTCTAAAGCATTACTAGCGAAAACATTTTCTCTAATGAAAAAAATGCTGTCCTTTCCTGAGGAAAATGCATGCCTCTCTGTTCCCTTTTGGGCAGATTGGGATTCCCACATAACTCAACCCAGCGCCCCCTTGCCCTTGGAGTCCTTAGAGTCCCTTTCCCTAAAGAAGTCCACATGACAGCCAGTTCGTGGAGCCAGCGGCAGTGAAGAAAGGTAGTGAGTTTGTCTGACGAAGACCTGACACCCTGACAGGCTGGACACCAGCCTTGGGTGGAGTACGGAAGGGGACCCTGGAAATCTCTCCCTCTTCCCTTCCCCCTTTCCCCCTTCTGAGAACATCTCCCCCCCAGCACACTCCACCTCCCACTACACCCACGTCTTGCTTGACGATATCTGATGTCTGGGTTCTTCAGATCTAGATAAACTAAGGGCTACTGCCTGTGTTTACCATCCCAGGGAACTCAGGACAGGAGCAACACCTAGCAGAATTTCAGGCAGAACGGCACTGGAGTTTGTGTATGTGGGGGGACGGAAGGTGGTGTTTGGGAGTGAGGAGAATGAGAGGAAAACAGAAGGCTTCCCAGAGGTGGGGATTAATGGTGAAGCCTCCCCCTTTGCCTTTCGGAGATCAAATGATTGTTCGTGCAAAGTCCCTTTTGGAAAACCGAGCCCCTGACCAACATCCAAGTCTAGGAGGTTTCTTCTCCTGGAATAAGGAACAGGAGGACAGACTCTGGTTGCTGGCCAGGTCCCTGTGGCAGCTGTGATGGGATCAGATTCCCAGGAAAGGAGGAAGCTGCCACATTTGCAAAGGGAGCAAAGAGGACAGGCAGGCAGCCTCCGAAACCAGAGAGACAGACACAGGGAGAAACAGAGAGTGAGAAATGCTCCCCTGAAGACATAGTGAGATTATTTTCTGTAAACCTATAAGGGAAGACAAAGTTACACAGTGAGTCCACCTTCTGAAAAGCAACAGGCAGACAGGACCGAGGACCATGCTCTTAAGGGGAACCGTGATGGAGCCGGGAGGAGAGGTGGATCCTCAGCAGAGCTTCCCTCCCTTGCACACAAGCTGACGGTGTGAACTAGGGTGTCGGGGTTGGTGCAACTATAGAAGGGAAAGGCTGGGCGGGGGTAACATACCTCAGTGGCAGGCAGGCAGGCGGCAGGCAGAGCGCGCTCTCCGGGCAGTCTGAAGGTCTGCAGGAATGTGGAGGGGTTTAGAGACAGGCAACAGGAAACCACTCAGAGCTCTGGGCTGGGTCTATCTCCCCTCCACCCCGCGGTCCCTCCTCCTCCTGTCTCCTCCTTCCCCCAATCTCCTCCTTCTCCTACAGCCAAAGCTGTCTCTGTCTTTCATTTCTTTCCTCCTCTTTTTGCGGTGGGCTGTCCTGACCAAACGCCCCAACCCTGCCTGCCTCATCTGTTCCGGGGCTGCTGCCTAAACCGACTCACGGAGTGCCAGGGCTGGACAGGCCTGGAGGGATCACCCAGAACAGCCTCTTTCTTGTTCAGAGGGCAAGTGAGGCCTGGAGAGTGCAAGGAATTACCCAATGGCCCCCAGGGGCAGAACCAGGCACAAGTGTCTTGATCTTCTAACCAGTGAGCTTTACAGGAGTACTCCCTAATATTAGGCAATGCTGAGAAGGACGAAGCAATTCAAGGGGCTTGTATTTGCCACAAAGGCAAGGCCAGGACTTGCCACTGTACAGACAAGACAAGCTGCTACTAGTGGTATCATCCTTGATGATTTGGAACTGGTCTTAAAAAAAAAAAAATCCCACTCAAACTCCACTTGTACCACTGATAGGCACGTAAGGGATTAGACATCTAACTGGTGGACCTGTGCCACCAATATTGAACAGATAAGGTAACTGATGATATTGATGATAATCATAAGAGTAACAATAGCCAAGGTTTACTGAGGACTTAATAATCTTCCCAGCAACCCCTTATCTTAGACATTGTAATTATGACCATTTTAATAATAAGGAAACATAGAGGCTAAGTAACTTGCCTATGATCACCTGGCAAAAAGTGGTATGCGTGGGCTGATTCTACGTTTCAACTTGGGTCACTCCTGTTGTATAGGAACTGCTCAGTGAAACAGGTCTTGGCTGAATATTGATTTTGTGCCTAACACTCTGGGAGGTATGCGAATTAATACCTGGCCTTGTCCTCAAAAAGTTTTGTGGTTTCTGGTTTTGTTTTGTTTTTTTGAGACAGAGTCTCACTCTGTCGCCCAGGCTGAAGTGCAGTGGCATGATCTCGGCTCACTGCAACCTCTGCCTCCCGGGTTCAAGCAATCCTCATGCCTCAGCCTCCAGAGTAGCTGGGATTACATGTGCACATGCCA